GTGAACTTACTCGACCCATCTGCATAAAGTTGCTCTGCATTTTCTTCACTGTAGTTGTGGCTGTTAAAAATTTATTGTAATTTTCATAGACAAGTTGTTGCATTTCAGAGTCCAACCGTCGTACCTACAAAAACATTTATTAACTTGAAAAACTGTAAAAAAAAAAAACTTCAGGTTACAAACAGCTTTTTTGGAATCAATTGAAAATCTGCTCGGAACCTTTCAGCTTTCTCATAAACAGCTCTTCCTAATAATTCAATATAATGCTTGTTCGTATCACGTTTCAACTTCCCTTCTTTCCTTCCTCTCACACTTTATTTTTGCTCCTTCACTTATATCTGCTTCTTTTTCTAATCCGTCTTGCAAATTAGACACGTGTCTATTCAAACGGTGGCGGGTAGAAGACTGTGCTGATGATTCCCACTCCTACCCGCATGCACTGTTCGGTCTGTGTACACAGCTAAGGGATGAAACACAGACTGCACCATAAAATGTCTTCATGCACATGGCATTCAAGTAAAATCCTTCTGTTCCTCTATTTTCACAAAAAAAAAGCCCCCTCTCCTCGAGGGTGTAGCCCAAATTTTTCCCTCTAATTTACCAAAAACGCAAAATAGAGTAATTGAATAATCGAATTTTTAAAGCCCTGAAATTGTTTCTAGGAAAATAAGAAGATAAGGACTCACACTATGAACCATATCCTCTTCTACTTGAAGCAATTCATCCAAATTTTTCTTCCGCAACAGATCGCCGATGTAGGCTTCGCAATCAAAACTATTCGAATTTATATCCAACGGATTGGCACTGTCACCACCGCCCTCGTCTACGGCTGCTTTTTCGTCCATACTCTCTTTCAAGTCTGAAAAATGAATTTTGTCAGGAAATTCGTTAAATCTATATCTAACAACAATATTTCATGGCGGGCAGGAGGAGGCTGTACTGACGATTCGCACTCCTACCCGCACGCACAGTCCGGTCTATGTTTACAGCTAAGGGATGAAACACACAGAGACTGCATCGTAAAATGTCTTTTTGTACATGTCACTTAAGTCGAATCCTTCTACTCTACTATTCACTGTGTGCAAGATAATTCCAAAATGTTTTACGGTCTTGTGCCACTAAACAGCTCTACTATGTCTTCCATCATCATTTGCTAAACCAACTCCAACGTTTCCGGGCTATGGCTGTTCCACATTTCCCATGCGCCCAATTTTTATGCGTTTTTGCCTATATGCAAATTGCAAAAACGCATATTGGGACGACCCTGTCTGT